TTTTAGTTTGTTCCAATTTTAGGGTTCGTACATACGGTAAAAGCAGTTAAAAAGGCCTTATTGCAATTATAATCAAGTTCTGATATCAGAATGTCAGACCTGTTGGATATTTACACTCGAAAATGACAGCCATTATCTCAGCCCTGATTCGCATCCACACTCATGTACTGGCACAATAAATAGGGTTTTCAAAGTCACCAGGAAATAAAATATCAGAAGGTCATTGTGATCTGACCACTGGGGTTCATAGAAAATATCAGGGATTCAGTCTTTTTGAGAAAAATTTAAAGTATTTGTTTCTCCATGGAAAATACCGTATTTTTTCCACACTTAAAAGCTGTAAGAGCTTAAGTGGGAGCTGGATTCAAAATGGTATCAGACTGCTCCTTGGGAGCTGCTGTTCGGATCACTTCAATGTTCTGCTCACCTTGCAGCATGAACAGGCTGAGGGTGAAAAGATCTTTTGTGTTTAGTCTTTCCCCCTTTAACAATGTTAGAGATGCTGTTAGAGGAGTAAGAAATAAGCCAAGCACCAATTAATCACAGAGGGGGAAGAGGACAAGGTGCCAAGACATCACTTTGCAAGATTATTCATTGAGCAGCTGTCATCAGGACAAATAAGGTGTGATCTAAGGAAACTCTCAATACTGGATCAAGATGCAATGAGGCCCTTGACCTGTTCCAGTAATAAGCCAGTATAAAGATAAACCAAAGTCTCCTCCCATCCTGCGTTAGGGTTGAGATGAACCCAAGGTTCTTGCTCTACTCTCACTGCTCAGTGGCATAAAGTGACTTATGGTGGTTTTTTTTGTTTTGGGTTTCTTTTTTATCCCCTCAGGCCATGATTCAATGGACAATGATTGACCATAAATGTCCTCTGTGCATCTCCACAGTAGCATATAATCAAAATCCCCTTGAGTGCCAAAAAGCATACTTGCTCAGCAAAGGTTGGCTTTCTCCTGGCTAGAGCAGCCATCCTGATCAGCGCAGGAGAAACTCTGGGGTGGGAAGGTGGCTCATTGCCAACACTACACATTGGGCACCAAGACTCCTGAAGAAATGCCCCTGTGCTTTCAGACATTTCAGATTTCAAACAGGGTGACTTTTGGATTAGCTTGTCCACTGCCTCTTGGATGCACAGAGAGATGAGTGAAGCTCTGGCCATTGATTTGGGTTTGGCTTGGAGGGAGAGGAATGTGCAAAAATGCCTTTTGAAAAGAAGTAAAAAAAAAATTTGGACCTTGCTTAACATAAGAGGGAAGATTTTATTGTGGATGCAACTCTCCTCATCGAAGGATGCTCTCCTCCTCACCCACGGATGTGAAATAAAGACCAAGCTTAGTGCTGTCACTCTCAAATGTTTGATTTCGTTTATGGCTACAGCAGCTCTTCTTCCTACTTGTGCTTTTGCTGTTGTCCTCAGTAATTCTGCTGTCCAGCCTCCATGCCCTGCTCTGTTTGCAGCACTGCCCTCATGGAGCTGCACCAGATTTCCCACAGGGAACTCAGGAAAAGGCATGTAGTTAGGAACCGTTACATGGGATGCTGGGTCTGTGAGGAAATACTTAATAACTGAAATTAATATTCAAACCTACACTTGTATACCAGTTTTCTAGTAAGTAATTTTTCCTGGTAATAGGAACCAAGACATTTTACATGGGTATTACAGGATAATCCTGGCCTGAGCAGAAGTTTTTCTCTGCTCTGAACTGAAGGATTTATCTCGAAAGTAAGTGAAAAAAGTAAAAATTAGCTGTGAAAACAAGTTTGTACAACAGCTGTTCAAGCTGTGTCAGTTTAAATTCCTGTTTTAAACACCAGGTGGCAACAACAGAAAAGAAATACTCTCGCATGAAGCACTCGCGCTGCCGCTTTACACCCAGACTGAGCTGCCGGTATAAACAACGTTGTGTGCCAGAGGCTTAGGCTGGAGATGTAGGGGAAAGGGGAAGAGAACTGCACAACAGGAAAACTAATCAGCATCTTTTTCAGGGCAGATGTTCACTTATCTTAAGAGTGTGAAGCTACCCAATTTACAACCAGGGAAATGTCAACTGTGTTTTGGATTTGGGTGCTAGAGAAATGTATATATCAAAGTCTGATTTCCAATAAAATGCTCAGATTGCATAAAAAATATCTGAGTATGGGGGTAAAAACCAGATTAGATTGCCCCACTTTTCCTTTTTCATCTTAGTGCTCAATACCACATCTTTCTTTCAGATTTCATTTGGCAGGTTTTGTTATGCAAACATTATCCTCATATGATAATGATTTTGGCATTTCCTCAACTGGCATATGAAAGCCAGCGGTCCAAGATGTGCAGCAATCACAGAGGAGCAGATAATAGACACTGGTACATTTTGTCCTGCCTGAGAACCACAGTGCATAAATTTTAATACAGTCTTGCCAGGGTCCAGCAGTGAAAGTGCTAGATTGGGAACCTACTGCAGCACAAGCTGGTGGTTAGGAGGAACAGTGCTGGCACTCAAGAATTCAGTGGTGGGCTGGGAAAAGAGAGAATCTGATACTGTGGGAAAGATGGGAAATGGAGAAGGCATCTGTTTTGCTAGATAAAGATCCGGATCTGTGTAGTATGAGCCTTTTGAATTGGGAGAGTTACTCAACTTAACCAGTTACCTGCCAGCTGGAACAAACATGACCATTTCCTCTGTTCAACACAACAAATTAATTTCAGTACAGACTCTGTGTGCCAAAAAATAAGAAGCATTGCTCAGCCTCTTACCCTCTTGTGTCTTGACAGCAGGAAGTGAAATAGATGACCCTGCCATGAAATCTCCTCCTTCTACCATCCTGAAGAATTATGTCATTGTTGGTTCCTCCCAAATCTCAGGACAAGCTGCCCTCTTCCATCCCTCTGGCCAGAAAAGTTCAGATCCCCATGTCAGAGGACAGGTAACAACACCAACCGGTTCCCCTCACCTGGCTGCCGTCCACCTGCCTTTACCTCCCAGCAGAGTCATTGAAGAACTCCACAGGGCTCTGGCCACCAAACACCGGCAGGACAGGTACCTACAGCCTCTTGGCTATAGGGGTGCATGAGGAGAGCCATTCCACTAAATAATTTTTCTTGGTAAATGTTCCTACCCTGTTATTACCATTTTATTTACTCCTACAGCTTGAGTTTGCCTTCCTCTTCATGTCACTACTTTGAACATCCATCCCTGATTAAAGTGCTTAATTTGGCAGTTACTTCCAAAGCATGTTCTTCCCTTATAAGAAGGCTACTGTGACGTGGAAGTAGGTTTTCAAAGAGCTAGAATAATTTGATATCCTTGACCTATTGCAAAAGAAAATCTCCCCACAAGATACCAAGTTATAGTAGGTAAGGCATATCCTGCTCTAAATATCAGCACTTTGCATGTGAGAAATGCTACTATTTCAGTATATGCCTCTTGGCTTATACATGAGCATATATGGTACCCATTTTTAATACAAATGCTTGTGTGGGAGTACATTGGGCCCTTTGTCTGGCTTTTCTTATCTTAGAGGAGAACAGAGATAACCTTTTCCATCACAGCTTTGGAGTTAAGTTGGTAACATTTCTTAATTCCATAACAGCTATTTCCATAGGGAAGAGAGTCATACGATATTATTTCCAGGTCCCATTAAACCTTTGTCATGATCATAAAATAACAGACTGGTAATATTTCATGACATGTATGTTTTACATTAGAAGGACCTGCTGTGTGGCTTTTTTAATCAGTACAGTATAGCATGTGTCTATATAACAAAGAAATTCATTAGCACCCTTCCGTACCTTATTTTTATGACATAGACAGGAAAATAGATCTGGATTAGCCATTCTTAACACAGTCTTGAGAATGCCTTCCATGTTGTCCCATGTGAACTCTCTGCTCTGGCCTTTTTAACCTACAAGAAATTTTGCTCATTCTCATGTAATGATAAATTCCTATCACGGCAATAAAAGTCTTTTGTAAAAACTGGGCTGCATACCTTCCACCCACAGCTTCCACGGAAGAGAAAGCAAAGGCTCTCCAAAAAAAAGAGTTGATGTTCGTCCATCCAGAACATCTAGCATTGAGCGCAACAAAGAAAAGGAGAACTCCCTGAGTTACAGCAGTGATTCAGAAAATAAGCGGAACTCAGTGAAAGAGTCAGATGAGAACAAAGAAAACATGATCATGAACTCAGAGCTCAAGGAAGACTCTGTTTTTTATCAGGATGAGGAAGTTTTGAATGACTCCATTATTTCTGGTAAGGAAAGTAACTTCTCATATTATAAAGATACACTATGGTAATGCAACGCAACGCTCTAAACAAGGCAGCACGCCCCAGAAAATACTGAGCAGTGTAAATTCCTCTATTGTCCCATTACCTTTGTCAAGGAATCCTGGTGAAAAGCTGAAGTTAGAAGTGAGTCATGGTGATTGTGGTCATGTTTTTCTCGGTATGTACTGCACACTAAGCTGACATTTAGAGTTCTGTTGCTATGTCCATGTGTCAGTATGCTCCACCCCTTCAGTTACATCCCCTTTGTACTACTATCTATGAATGGCAGCACTTGCAGACACATCTCACCATCAGGAGGCAAAGCTTTCTGTACACCCAGTGCCAATGCTGCGGATGGTTTAGAAGCATTCCATTTTCCAAGTATTATTCCATGTATTTGTTGTACCAGTGATGGTACAGCAAAAAGTAGAAGACACAGTGAATGTAGGAAGGACAAACATCTAGAGAAAAGGTCTTAAAGGAGAAAGTTACTCCCTATTTGGTCCTTTTTACCCTTTCTTGAGACATATGGGGAATGTACTGTATAATCCTGAGCACTGATTTAAGTGGGCTTTAGTAAAATAATCGGCTCTCCTTAGCAATATTTTTTTAGTGCAATGATTATATACGTATTAGTATTTACCTGCAGATCTACAGCGGGGGCAAAGATAGCAAACAAAGGTGGTTTATCATTCGATAAAGAGGACACAGATATTAATACAATCCCTTTTTCCCTGCAAAATGCTTTCCAGCTTTAGCAAAACTAATTTTTAGGAAGAATTTTCTTTTATTTCTTTGTTGCTATACAGCCTTCTTCATTGTCACTAATCTCACTTTTTGGCATTCAAGTCTTTTCACACCTAAACTTCAGCCTCTGCATGAAGACAACTGTTGCATACACCCCTTAAACTTACCCAAGTCATCATAAGACTTGAGCTTTATGCATAAGATCGTTTTACTTAACATGGCTGAAGATCATTGTGGACTGCCTTGTCCTTGCAGGGTTGTAAATGTGCATTTGCAGAAGACCTAATTCTTTATACAAGCCTGGTGCTTGCTCTGCCGGTGTTTAAGTTCAGGCACATAGTAGGCACAGGACAAAACTCCAGGCCGCACAAAGCTCCAGCTGTTTGATGTCGAAGGAGGCTGCTGTGGCTAGGTACCGGGCAAGCTGGGCAACACAGCTGCTTAAACCACGAAAGTCCCCCAGCGGCTTTGGGGATGCGGTTGCTGCCCATTTTCTCACAAGCTCGGACATAAGCAAGATATTTCTCGTCTTGACACTGGGTGGCACTGCTTGTGCCAGCATTCACTCAAACGCATCTATTAGCATTTCAGAGAGGAAGGAGAGCTAGTGACAAGTGACAGGGATAGCGCCAGAATAATTCCCTGAAAAGATCCAGATTCTTTCTAGTTCAAAGGAATCCGGGCTTGCTTGCAAGTCAGGAGATAAAACTATCCAAAGTTGCTTTGCAAACAGTGTCCTGCCTTAGTGCGTCATCAACTTTGCCATTGCCACTGCGATGCAGAACAGTGCAACAGCCCTGTGGTTAGGGGGAGATTGGTACAGGTAACTCTGAAAAAAGTGAGGAATTGTACCTTGGCTTTCCACTAGCACCCTCCTCAATAAATCATTCTTTGAAATCTCTAAAAACACCAGCCAAGACACTAGTCTTGTGCGCAAGCTTAAAAAATAACCTAACTAGCATGTAGCCCACAACTGATAACTAGTGCAAGCAAGGTCTTCCCATCAGCATGCAGCATTAGGTTTTGTCTTTTACTTGATAGAAAGAACAGTAAAAATATAGGAAATTCAACGTCATGATTCGACTGAACTAAACCAGGAACTTTAGTCAGGAACCTGCAAACCAAGCATGAAAAGGGTGTGAATTTTCAGAACACTTATGGGTGACCAGGCTGAGCTGCCATAAACCATGAAACGAGCTACAGGCAAGATCCTGCCCAAGACAGTTTGGTCATGGGGCAGACCAGCATTGAACATGCCTTTCTGACCAGGAAAAATAACCCTTAGGAAGAGAATAGCTAAATAAGGGTATTTGCAAGTTCACTTTCTACTGAGATTGTGATCAGTAAGGAATTTGCCTCGGGGTGCTGAAATGGATTGGGGAAAATTAGTTTGTGGCTTTATTTCCTCTTTGTTCTCTGGTTTTGGTTTATTTATTAGTTTATTAATTCTGAAACTTCAGATTCGGGTTTCTGCAGCAGGTGGAATAACAGAACTGGCCATCAGTGGGCTTGTCAAGATGAAACCAGATGAATTACACAATGGTTCCCAGCATGTCTTCCTGATGCGGGGGAAACATCATCCCCTCCTTTCACTTTGTGGGGCAGGTATTATTTTTCAGCAATTAACCCAATTGCTCAGGCCTGGGGAACGGCTCCTTGGACTTGCAGATCAGTTTAATCCAGATCTCTTGCATTTTTATTTGGTGAAATACCCTAAAGATTAATCAGTGCCCAGCGCATATGGACCATGGGAGTGGTTATAGCATAAGCCTTTTAGAAATCCAGACATCTGGATGAAGTGAGCACAGCTTATCCTGAGTGGGTTATATGCTCTCCACTCCCCTAATACCACAGCAGGATTTGGGTTAAAGTTGAGATGTTTTCAGATATGATTTGTGTTTTTAATTTCACAAAGTAGTAGACTCTTTTTAAGTGTGTAGCAGAGCAGCCTGGGAGCAGTCAAGACTCTGAAGAGCAGCTTCATTTTACTTTGTCTCAAGCAAAGTCTTTTCCTTGTTCCCTCTCACTTTGTAATAGAAGCCTCTAGGGCATACACTGAGCTAGCTTTAGCCAGTGCCTCCACATCAGCTTCAAAACCTGACTTCCTGCAAAAAGGTCCAGTCTTTTAACTGCGGAGCATTGGGTTCAGCTGGCCTTCATCTCATAGATGAGAGACAGCAGAAAATGAGCTCTGACCTCACTCACGTGAGCAAGTAATCACTGGGATTCTCCCACTATTCAAAGATCAGGTATAATATGGTACGGCAAAAATCAGGTATAATCAGGTATGGTACGGCAAGAAGTTTCATAGCAGCCTGCAGGGAGTAGGGATAGTCCTGCATGCTCATACCTTCACTGTCACCAGTGGATGGGAGAATAACTGTTTAGGGTGCATCTCCAAACAAAAAGGGTTTACTACACATGTAGAACTCCCTTGTTCTAAGCAGTTCTGGACACAGACATATGCACATGCACATCTATTGCTTTCAGTGCAGCCAGGACACACTGAGCTGTCTGCAAATGCACTATGCAGATGGCCAGCACATGGGTCGTACGACTATCATCTTCTGGAGCCACTGGGCTTAATGTACACATGCAGCCTCTCTGCAGCAACCTCCTGACATGACCAAATTCCTCTTACCGACCCATTAAGATTTCCAGGTGAAAATGCGAACATGTTCAGAGATACCTGGGAGTTTGCCAGCCCCAGGTGTGTTCCAGATTGTTTCCAGAAGGAATTCTGTTGGTTCCTGGGCTGTATGGATCGAGCACTGCAAACGCCCACTCTGCACCCACTCCCAGTATGGTGGAGGCTTGAAAAACCTTGATAGAGCCCCAAGTCTGTGGCTTCATGAGCCAAATATTTCTGATGGAGTCATATATTCAGTTAGCAGAAGGCTGTGTGTGGCATCAGCCAAATCATTTAACTTCTTTACCCATCTGTTAAACGTATACCTACTACTACACAGAGGGCTGTGTGGTTTAATTTAATTAATGTTTGCAACAGACTTTGAAAGCATTAGAGGAAGGTGATAAATGAGGGCACAGCTTTAGACTTTAAGTGGGGCTTTGAGCTGAGATTAGTTTCTAAAAAGTTAAATTTTAAACCACTGCAACTGCTAAGAGACTTGCTTCTGCTCACACAAGGACACCATAACTACTTCCTGACCCAGTCTTCCCAACATTTATATGTGGATGTGGTGTAGACTCCTCCCCCTGCATAAAGAAATCATGCACTATCATCAATAGTGATGATAATAAGAAATAATAACAACAACAGTAATAGTAATAATAATAATGTAGGTCCACAGATCCCTAGGAAATAAAACCCCAATATTTGGGAATGAGAATCTATTCAGGATTTAGAATCTTGCCAATCTCCAGAGCATCCTTTAAAAAATAGACTTTAATCCTATCTCAAATGCCAAACAAAAATACCAATTAAATATAATTTTCTTTAAAAATTAGGTGACCTTTTGTAGAAAAGGTGAGGCATTAAATTAAAACCCTTTAAAGCAAAAAGGAACCAAACCAAAATAACCTCCTATTACACACCGCCCTCCCAAAATGAAGCAAATACAAAGGTTTAACTGTAGATCCTGTGTACCCTGACAATACACAAAACCCCATCTGCTCTGCAAAGATGATTTTCAGACTCCCTGAAGCCCTGGACTGGACAGCAGAAAAGTCAGCACAGAACGGGAGGTGTGCAGGGACCTGGTGGAAGTTTACTTGCTTATAACCTCCCTGTGACATGGTTGCGGAAGACTGCAGTCCTACCAGTATGACTCAGAAGCTCACTGGTTTTAACAGGACTTCCTTTTTCTTCCCCGCCCCATCATAAGCAAACTACTCCTCATGAATGTGGACATCACCTCAGACTTTCAGTCTGCATTTGGAAATAAAGATGGTTTTCTACTTTACAGCCTTTCTACTACATAACTTCCCTAACACATGGCAAAATGGTTTTCTAGGCTCAGGAGTCCAATTTTCATTTGTTTAGCCTGCTGAAGTCTGAAGAGTTCCACCAGAGATACAGAAACACCTAAACTCAAACACAATTCTCTCTAGTAAGAGTAAAAGGATGTTTCCAATGCCATCAGAGAGGCAGCATCAAGGACTCCACATCCAGCACACTGAAGAGCAGTAGACTCCTACCCAAAACAGCAGCTGCACATTCTCCTATGAACAGTTTTTGAACAGTTTTTGTAATGGCAATGTTTCAGGTTATCTGGTTTGATGGAAAGCATGTGTTACATTTTCTACAGTAAGCACAACCAGAGTCATGCAATCACAGTAACCATTTGTGTCTCTTACTGCCCAAATGCCCAATGAAGTTGCCAGCATTCTGCGAGTCATCATAAAACCTGGCCTTTTCTGTCATTCCTTGGAATATTTGCCCCTGCTCCATTCAGAGGAAAAGGTCTAATGCCTACAGAATAATAGCGATTGATAAATGAAATTCTGTTTTGACACACTGTCACACTGGACAGGATGTAGATATGCATCATGGTTTATATTTAGTGTTAGAGTGACACAGTGTCTGGTCACAGTTCTGATCCTCTAATTTCTAATGCCAGAAAACCAGAATGATACTTCATATGTATCTCTATGTATATTTTTACATAGAAATGTGTGTGTGCATATATACACACATGTCACGCAACAACTTTGATTGTTTCAGTCACCATTATCTATCCCTTGTTACACCTGGTGACCCAGAAAGGAAGGTGTACATGCCCCGGCCACTTCTGCCATCCAGTGATCCAGTCCTCCTGCCAAGGAACCACTAACCGGTTCAGGAAACAGGGATTGCTCTGGGCTATAGGGATGCTCAGAGGACTGAGGCAAGAGGCACAGCTTTTGACTTCTAAACTAGTGATGTGAATCATGTCTCAGCTGCAAATAATTTTCACCTGAGAGCACTGCTTGCTTCTAATGGATAATAATGGCAGCAGAGGAATATGATCCTTCTGGATTTGTATGCAGTTTCCTGTCCAAGCCCTGCACTGCTGCTCATTTACACTGACATACAGACCACTGTCGCTCTGTAGGTTTTCTGCTCATGTGGTGTTCACCTTTCCTCTCCAGGAGCTGTCTTTCTAATTACTTTCTTTCCAATGCATGTCCCAGGTACTTTGCCAAGAAAATGCAAGAAAGAACTGCTGGCAGTAAAACTACGAAACAGACCAAGTAAGCAGGAGCTGGAAGACAGGAATATTTTCCCAAGAAGGACAGATGAGGAAAGACAGGAAATCCGGCAGCAAATTGAAATGAAACTCTCAAAGTAAGTCTATCTAAGAAGAGGGGGGAACTTCCCTTTACAATGAAGCGTCCTCTGGGTACTGTCAGATGAGACACAGTCACCTACTCCCAAGTCCATTTCCTTCACATCAACCACTTAAAAAAAAAAAGAAATCCCAACTACCTCTTCAGTCAGGATTCCGTTGATCCAATAGCAAACAAGTCAGAAGTTAATGTGGGAGACAAAAGTCTGCCAACTCTACTTGTGGCTCCATTGCAACGAAGGGCAATGGAGCTGGTGAAGGGTCTTGAGAACAAGGCTGATGAGGAATGGCTGAGGGAATCGGGGTGTTTAGTCTGGAGAAGAGAAGGCTCAGGGGGGACCTTATCACTCTCTACAACTACCTGAAAGGTGAGGATCAGTCTTTTCTCCCAAGTAACAAGAGATAGGACAAGAGGCAACAGCCTCAAGCTGCACCAGGGGAGGTTTAGGTTGGATATTAGGAAAAATTTCTTCCCTGAGAGGGTGAGCAGGCACTGGAACAGGCTGCCCAGGGCAGTTGTGGAACCACTGTCCCTGGAAGTGTTCAAAAACATGGTTTTATGGTGGCTTTGGCAGTGCTGGGGTAAAAGGTTGGACTTGGTGATTTTAAAGGTCTTTTCCAACCTAGTTCATTCTATGACTCTATGATGTAGTCAAGATTTTGAGGTCCTCCAGAAAGGCTAATGCTTTAACAAAAATAAGAATGGAATTATTCATTAACCTGATTTTGCTTTGTCAGCACTAGGTGAATTTGAGGCTAAAGGCAGTTGTTATAGCTGCATATTTACTTGAACAAGGGAAAGCTGCTGTACACAGTGGTGGCTGTACGTCTGCTTTAGTGAAGAAGCAGGGTTCGCAGCGCTGGCCCTCC